AGGTCAAATCACATACAATAAATAGATTAAATCTTTCCCATCCCTTAAAGAAAAAAAAAAGTACTGCATCCATAAAGGAAGAACAAGGAACAAGATGCTAAAGTCATATCAAGAAAAAAAACAAGCTCGGCACCTGTGGCTCAAGTGGCTAAGGTGCCAGCCACATACACCCAAGGTGGCGGGTTCAAATCCAGCCCGGACCTGCCAAACAACGATGGCTGCAACCAAAAAATAGCCAGGCATTGTGGTGGGCACCTGTGGTCCCAGCTACTTGGGAGGCTGTGGCAGGAGACTCGCTTGAGCCCAGGAGTTGGAGGTTGCTGTTAGCTGTGATGTCACAGCACTCTACCCAGGGGGACAGCTTGAGGCTCTGTTTCCAAAAAAAAAAAAAACAGGCTTGGCACCTGTGGCTCAAGTGGCTAAGGCGCCAGCCACATACACCTGAGCTGGTGGGTTCAAATCCAGCCCGGGCCCACCAAACAACAATGATGACTGCAACCAAAAAATAGCCGATGTTGTGTTGGGCGCCTGTGGTCCCAGCTACTTGGGAAGCAGAAGTAGGAGACTTGTTTGAGCCCAGGAGTTAGAGATTGCTATGAGCTGTGATGCCACAGCACTCTACCTAGGGGGACAGCTTGAGGCTCTCAAAAAAAAAAAAAAAAAAAAAAAGAAAAAAAAAAATAACTAAAAACCTAATGGAAATTAAAAATATGAGAGCACAAATTAAAACTCAGTAAGATGGTTAGAAGATAAAGTTGAAGAAATCTCCCAAAAAGTAGACCAAAAGACAGAACTGGAAAACTGGAAAAAAAGAAATTAGACATGGGCAGCACCTGTGGCTCAAAAGGGTAGGGCACTGGCCCCATATGCCAGAGGTGGTGGGTTCAAACCCAGCCCCAGTCAAAAAAAAGAAAAAGAAATTAGACAACCAATCCAGGAGGTCCATGTAACAGAAACTAAAGGGGAAAAAAAAAAGATGAAAAATATTAAAAAGGACAAGAAATCATTAACTAAATAAATATCAAGAAAATTTCCCCTGGGGCCCTGAGGCAGAAGGATCATTAAGCTCCAGAGTTCAAGGCTACAGTGAGGTATGATTGTGCCATTCCATTCCAGTATGGGTGACAGAGTAAAATTCTTTCAAGAAAGGAAAGAAAGAAAGAAAAGAAAGAAAATTTCCCCAAATTGAGAAGTAGGCCCACAGCTAGGCATATCACTGTAAATCATCAGGACACTGGGCACAAAGAGAAAATCCTATAAGCATGTACTGAGGAGTAAAACAAAAAACACACACAAACAAAGGTTTCAGAATTACAATTACTTTAGATTTTAATAGTAACACTGTAAGTCAGAAGACAGTGAAGCAAACCCAGCTAAATTATCAATGAAATGTTAGTATGAAGAAATTTTCAGACATGCAAAGTCTCAATAACTGAACCTCCTGTGCTTATTTTCTCCAAACATTACTGCACAATGTGTCTCACCAAAACAAGAGAATATAGCAAGAGGACATAAGATATAAAAAACAACCTGAAACAAAAACAAAGGGAATATCCAGAATGGTACTGAAGGGAGAACCGAGGATAAGAGCTGTACACCAGGCCTAGAAAGCAAGCAGGACAGAGGACAGTGGAACCAAGTTAGTCCAGAAGATCAAACTGACAAACTATTTGATGGGTATGACAACAATGAAAAGATGTAGACAACTAGGAGCCACCTAAAGAAATGATCCGGCTCGGCGCCTGTGGCTCAAGCGGCTAAGGCGCCAGCCACATACACCTAAGGTGGCAGGTTCGAATCCCCAGCCCGGGCCCGCCAAACAATAGTGATGGCCGCAACCAAAAAATGGCC